CTCCATCTCCGGTTGCATGCATTCAGGCATCAATTCTTTGCCTCCCTTCTCTTCTGCTGCAGCAGACAGACCCCACCTACTGGTACAGATTTTCTCAGCCACTGCAAAATAAAATAAAATAAATCAGTAAGCCGCCCACCTACACAACGTCCACACTGAACCTCGCTGGGCTATAGCGCAGTCAGGTTGTGGGTGGATTTTCCCAGCAAGAGGAAGGAGATGCCGGAAGGGAATACCAGCAACAAGCAACTCTGGATCCCAGAATCCCGGTCAGGTTTCTGACAGAGGCCCAGATCCGTTACAAACCAGTCTGTGGATGCTTTTCTTATACCACAGGGTGAAATATAGGAAACTCGTAACAGCAAGTCCTAGGCTTCCTCTATTAAGTTGGGAAATTATTTTTAGAGTAATTAGTTACAGGGCCCAAAGCCTTACATGACTCTATGCTACTGTTCTTTGCTGTTTTTGAAAATGAGCTCTTTACTTTCTCGTGATTGTAAAGTAATTCCAATGGTACCTTTTAGTTACTTTGGGAAGCCACATCGAAAGCTTATAAACTACTGATTACAAAACACACCTAAGCAATGAGGCCACCTTATCCGTGATGTATGAAAGTACAGTATCTATAAAATAGTTACACCGCAAAAGAAGTGGCTTCTTAGTTCCAGTCACATTGGCTATTCTTATTGCAAAAAAAAAAAAAAAGGGATTTAGGAATTTCCCAAGATCGGGATTTGAGGCCCACGGATCAAAGGAGAACTCTCTGGCCAGTCTTTCTCTCTTGTTGGTGGAATGCAAGTGATAAATAGCCATTTACCAGCGTGGGAGGAGAAAAGGAGATAAGCCTTGGAACTTTCCTGAGGCTAAAGCATCCGTGAAAGGACACACAATGTTTTCCGGTTACGCATTCTTTGTCGGCCTCTGGAACGAAAGGCGGTTGTCCTGGGATGACCTTGCCAAGGGATAAAAGGGAACAGTCAAAATATCGCTTTCCATCTCCATGCCGTGAGCACCACCGAGCAGCTGGAGTGCAGAAAGATATTTTGGTAGAATCATCCTGGGATCACGGTGTCCAAAGGGGCCTCTAAGCCCATGGAGTCCAAATCCAAGCAGATCAGGTTCACGATGGTCCAATCTTCTCCAGTGTTGGAGCACTTGACCACCTCCAGAGATCATGGGTCCCGTCATTGTACTACTCTAACAGTTAGGAAGTTTTTCTATGATCTTCAGCTGAAATTGGGCATCCTGTCGCTTGAGCCCATTCTAACGCTTCCTGCGCTCGGGGAGGACAGATCCTGCCTCTCTCCTCTGTAGGACCACCTTTCAAATCTTTGAAAAGCACTCTCCCGTCTCCCCTCCGTCTTTTTTTCTCAAGGTTAACTATGGGCCAGATCAGGCATCTTTTCCCGTCACTTCCTGAAAATGTTTCTTATGCAGCAAATTTTGGGGACTGTGATGCCATGGCAGGTGCGAGACCACTTTCCGAAGACCTGCGCAACTCACCGAGCCAAACGGCGCAAGGAGAAGGAAATCTTTTCTGGTTTGCCATCTATAAGGTTGGTTTTCTTTGAAGCGGGGGTTCACGTCATCATGTTCCCTGATCAATATTCAGTTGAACTTCTGGAAAGCTGCAATCACCCCACACACCTTTCCCCTCTTCCTCACCCTGACAATATGCTAGCTCTTTTGTTTTACATCTGTAACTCGTTTGGAGAAGAACCTTTCCTCTAAAGAAATATACATTTTCAATAATATAACAACAACGAATAAACACAATGCAACTAATATTTTGGCTAAAAAATAAAAGAAAAAGGGAACATATACATTTTCAACTCAATTCGCCCCACCACCCTCAGGACTAATTCATATATTTATTTTGCTTTATGTTTCGTAACTACCCCCCCCCCCAATTGCTTTCCAGAAATATCATGATGATGCCTGTCCAGGGCCATCACATTTTCATTTTCTGAACACATATACCGAAACTAAATTCGATATTTCTTTGAAATCATGTGTATTTCTAATCTCGATTTCATGGGTTAGTTTATCCATATTATTTTACTCAGGCTTCGTGCCCTGGAGAGGACACGCTGGCTTCGCGTACAGCGTCAAAACACTAGACGCTGTTCCAAGTCCTCCGTACAGAGCACGTTATCATAGTCTCTCGAGGCTGAAGGATGCCTATTTTATCAATTAATGGCCACATTCCATATTTCTTTATACCATTTCTCCATGTTAAGGTGATTATGGAAACGACCCTTTCTGACATGATGGTTGGGTGTAGTTGCAATGTCATGCAGTATAAAGCACTGTTTCACATCCATGGTCCGAAAATATTAAAATTATTAAAAGAAAAAAAATGTATTTTCACAATATGTTTACCAGAACTGGCCACTAGTGGGAGCCAGAGACCATGCTATGTATTCCTTTTGTTGACGATTACGTAGCATGGTCTCTGCCTCCCTCAAGTGGCCAGTTCTGGTAATACATGGTGAAATACTTATTTCTGAATATTTTATTTTACTATTTTTAATGTTTCCAAACCACAGATAGCTGAAACCATGAAAATTTGAGGGTGGCAATCCCTTCAATTTCTGCGATCCTTTAGGAGAAAGCTGACAAACATTTAAAATACTGTAAATAAATCTTTCCACCTAACTCAATTTCTTTGGATTGAAAATAAAAGGCCACGCCTGCTCCCTTTCACAGCTTGGATTTTATTTTTCTCTTTTCAAATTAGCAAACTAAACGAGCCAGGTGTTTTTCAGCATGTCCAAAGCCGACAAAAAAGTTTATTAGAGATTACAGATAAAGATAGACAGCAGAGATTACAGATAAAGACAGACAGATAGATAGATAGATAGGTATGAGATAACAACTGTCCAGATGGGGCCCGCAACTCAGTTCGACCAAGATCTGATTCTTCTGTACCCCTCAAAAGAAGGAAAGAAGGAAAGAAAGAAAGAAGGAAAGAAGGAAAGAAGGAAAGAAAGAAAGAAAGAAAGAAAGAAAGAAAGAATGAAAGAAAGAAAGAAAGAAAGAAAGAAAGAAAGAAAGAAAGAAAGAAAGAAAGAAAGAAAGAATTAACTGGAATGGACTTAATGCCACCAAAGGTATTCTTAAGACAAGCTGACCGGAACAGAGATGACACAAACACAGCCTAATTTTACAAACGGAGCATCCATCTTCCAGAAGCTTCTGTGAAACAGACCAAGGAAGTCCACAGCAAAGATATCTAAAATCTACCCCCCTCCCTCCCCGATTTTCTTCCCACCCCAGATGTTGGAAAGCTCTGAAGAGTTAAGCATTTCCAAACAAGACTGTAAAAAGTGACTGAAAGCAAAATAAGCACACACCAGGCATTCTCTCTGTTTCTCTTTCAAGCAACGTTCTTTATAACCAGCCCAGAGCTGACTTTCAAAAAAGCATCTCTCCAGGAATTGTTCAGGGGTCAAAACATGGCTGTTTTAATGGAAAATAAGTTAAATCTATATACAGAAGCATTGAGCGTTAGACGGAATTTACAAGCCATAGAAGCAGATGTATTGTTCCTGTTGGCATCGTTGTTATGAATTTTGTTTCCTTTACAGCATCACAGCTTTTAGACTGGTCTGCAAAAGGAATAGGGAACTCGTGAACGGTGAAATTTTAAAACAAGGGGGGGGGGTGGAAATCCTCACACACAACACCCCACAATTTCAGAAGATATGAAAAATTTGAACCTGTGATTTCCTTGAATGGGACAAGATGCCCGACTGGAAAGAGAGATAAGGATAAATGTTTCTGATGAACGTGTCCTTGGCTCTTCCTCTATCACTAAATTAAACTTCTTAGTTTATTTTCTGGAACAGACAACCCCCCCGGGACTTCCTGTTTGACTGGGGTGTGTGATCACACTGAGAAATAGCTTGCATTCTGGACCACTTGTGGTCCAGTCCAGTGTGATCCATTTCCCAGCAATCACACATATTAAATATTAAAAATATTAAAACGAAAAAAACGGTAAACATGTTCATGATGTATTTACCAGAACTGGCCACTGGATGGAGCCAGAGACCATGCTATGTATTCTTCAACATACATAGCATGGTCTCTGTTTCCTTCTAGTGGTCAGTTCTGGTAAATACTGTACGTGAGGAAAACACTTTTTTTTTCTTTTAATATTTTAAATATATTTTTTTCAACTGTAGATACTGATCCCACAGATATGGGGGTTCCTACTGTTTAAGAAATGCTACACAAATAGACATCTCTGGGGAAGGGCGTCAAACTCCAGCATTCAAACCGGACGTCCCCTACAACCTGACCCCCTTCTAGAAGATTCGTCCGGAACTCAGGACTCAAACAAAGAGATGACACTCATTTCCTCCTTTCTTCTGGGATTTTCTTCCTACTTCTTACCATCTCACAAAATCTCGGAAGCTGCCTGATGAGGAGTCAGACCTTCCGTGTTGACCTTTCGAACACACGCTGTCCAAGGCAGACTGAAACCAGGATTGTCCCACATGGAAGCGGGATACAGTACTCTCTCAAGAAGGGAATAAAGTAAAAAAATGCCCTTAAGCCCTCTGCAAGCCATGACCAAGTTGGGTGAATTTTTTTTTTAAAGGCCATTCACAGAAATATTAAATGTCATTATTTTTCAACCCAGTATCCCTCCCTGTCCTGCTCTACTTCCCAAGATACAGTGGCCGGTGGAAATGGAGTGGGTGGATTTCTGGCTACTCTCTCAAGAAGGGAATAAAGTAAAAAAATGCCCTTAAGCCCTCTGCAAGCCATGACCAAGTTGGGTGAATTTTTTTTTTAAAGGCCATTCACAGAAATATTAAATGTCATTATTTTTCAACCCAGTATCCCTCCCTGTCCTGCTCTACTTCCCAAGATAAAGTGGCCGGTGGAAATGGAGTGGGTGGATTTCTAGCATACAGTAGGACTCCCATATCCGCGGGATCGGTATCTGTTGATTCACTTATCCACCAGGTGAAAATATTAAAAATATTGAAAGAAAAATCCAAGAGAAAAGTATTTCTAAAGATGAAGTGACCAGAACTGGACCTTAGAGGGAGACAGAAACCGTGCTGTTGACTTTTAAAATAGTCTTTGCTACTATCCATATTTTCCAGCATCCGTGGAGGGGTGGGTGCTTGGAACCAATCCCCTGCCGATATGAAGGTGCTACTGTTTAACCCATTGGGTTCCTCCGAAATGGGGTTGCCGATGGGAAGACAGGATGCGATCAAGGGGAAATGTGTGGGGCGCGCGTGAGGGGACACGTCATGGTGAGGAAATTATGGAGGGGTTGGGTGGGAGATGTCAGGGCGAGAGGGAGGGAGCTCTCAGAGTGCCGTTTTGTCCAAATCCACTTTGACCGGCAGGATGCCCACTTCCTCCTCGGTCTCGTCGGCTGGGCAGATGGCCACTGCGATGAGAGGGCGCAAGGAATACGGCACGGGGCCGTCCAGGTCTTCCAGATACTCTCTGTCTCCATTGATGCTCAGGGGCTAGAAGAAAGGAGGCAGGTGATTAATTAAGGACTTAATAGCAACACTTCCTTATTTCACCCTAAAAAAGCAAGGAGAAGGGGAAACCCCCATTCGTTTTCTAGCGTGTGGACAGAAACTTCGACTTACATCCTTTCCCTACGGTGTTGCAACTTCTGTTTTCTCTCTTTCGAACCCNTTTGTCATTGCGGTGTGCTCTCTGAGTTATGGCAACACCATGAATGAGAAATCTCCGCCATGTCTCTTGCTTTCCCCGCCCTGAGAGTCTCATTGTGACGGCTGCGGTGACATCACCTGTCCTTCAGTGATGAGTGTGACGTGAAAGGATGACGTCAAGATGAGTGTGACGTGAAAGGAGGACGTCACAATAAACTTCCAGCACTATCTCTGGTGTGCTCTCTGAGTTATGGCAACACCATGAATGAGAAATCTCCGCCATGTCTCTTGCTTTCCCCGCCCTGAGAGTCTCATTGTGACGGCTGCGGTGACATCACCTGTCCTTCAGTGATGAGTGTGACGTGAAAGGATGACGTCAAGATGAGTGTGACGTGAAAGGAGGACGTCACAATAAACTTCCAGCACTATCTCTTGTTTGATTTTGCCCTGGCACTGCCACCTAAGTTGTCTCTGGCTCTCAGCGAACCCATGGATGAGCAACCTCTGAAAGGTCCAGTCCTTCACAGTCCTGCTCAGTGCTTGCCGATGCGAGCCAGCGGCTTCTTTGAGGGCGTTGATGCATCTCACATGCATCCTTCTTCTTTCCCTGCTGAATTCCACCTTTTTGCCTGATGTGGTCTCTTTCCAACGTGCCCCATCCCTCCTACCTGAGCCTTGACGTGCTGATCCGGCGCAGTCACCAGGCTGGCACAGCTCAGCCAAAGCATCACCACGACGGAGAGGAAAAGGCAGGCAGCCAGGATCCAGCGGGGCAGCCCCGAACGCCTGTAACACCCGGATGCCCCCCGCCAAAGAGAGACGACGAGGTTACGGCTGGCCGTTGGAATGCCAGAGGAAGCTTCTAAGTGGCTAGTGGAGAAGGGGAAGGGGAGCAGCCACCGCCAGAGGCCGAGGCAGGAAGGAGGAGAGGGGGGTCAGCGACTCAGAAAGCGGAGGAACAGGGGTCGGCTACTGCCGGCCTGCCCCCTCCCCGGGCAGCAAAGCGGAGGAACAGGGGTCGGCTACTGCCAGCCTGCCCCCTCCCCAGGCAGCCCTCCTCCTGCTGCTCCTCCTTGAGGAAAACTCCGCCCCAGCCAAATGACCCCACCCCTTCTCCCAGGTAGCCCCGCCCCCTAACTCAAGCCACCACTCCCCCTGCCATAATCGTGGCACCTTGTTTGGAGGGCCCTTCCAACCAACTCTCTGGAAACCAGACCAGCCCCCTCTTTGCCGTTCTTCTTTCGAGGAGTCAGATCGGGTGCCCTAAGACTCTGGAACTCCCTGCCACTGGAGGCCAGGCTGGTTTAGATCTGACTGCGGAGCCCGAGGTTGGGAGTTCAAACCCCCCCCCTCCTGCGCCTACTGACAGCGGCTGGACTCAATGATCCATGGGGTCCATTCCTACTATGATGTGATGAGGGTGATGATATTTTTAGTGGTCCAAGAACAGTATTCCCCCTGTCCTTGCCTTCAAATAACAACTGGCCAAAATCCGCTACCCAGCCACCCACCCCCTCAGCTGTCTTACTTGGACATGCAGCCGAGGAAATCATGTTCCGGAGGCGCCTGGGTTTCGGCCGGGGGAGGGACATCGGCGGCGACTCCGGGATTTAGCTCCCCCACCGGAGGCCGTTCCAGTTTCTCCCGGAAGCCTGAGGAGGCAGACCAACAACCATCTGTTTTACGCTGATGACATGTTTACCGGTCAAAGGAGAGGGGAATAAAGGAGAGGAGGAAGGAAGGAAGGCACTCACGAAGGGCATTGCCAAAGGAGTGGGACTAGCCTTGCCTGGCGGGGGCCAGCAGAAAGAGGGTTGAGAGCCCTGGACCTCCACCAGCAGGCATTCCTTCGAAGCAGCCTCCACACGTTCTGCCAAAAACTCTTCCTGGGTTGGGCTGAGAGTCGTTGCTGCCCCAGCTTTTGGTCCCCATTGTTAAGCCAGTCTAAATGCTCAGCGGGACAGCTGCAGCCAGGTCTTGGGGCAAAAGCTGTACCTGCCACCCAGGACCTCCTAGACAGTAGCAGGCAATGAGTGGGGTTTTCCTTCCTCTCTCCCTCCCTTCTACCCATCATCAGCTCCTTCCTTCCTCTCATCCATCAGCTCCTTCCTTCCTTCCTCTTATCCATCCATCAGCTCCTTCCTTCCTTCCTCTTATCCATCCATCAGCTTCCTTCCTTCCTTCCTTCCTTCCTTCCTCCCTCCCTCCCTCCCTCCCTCCCTCCAAGGAGCAGACACGTCTTCCTCACCAGGAGCCCCCAGTCTGCCTCTGGCCCGTTCGGCCCCTCTACTCTCCCTTGACCTCCCTGGAGTTACCTGTGTGGGGCTTCAGGGTGTTGGAGGCTGCATCGGTCCAGACCTTCTCGGAAACCTCCGATTTGGGTGCCTGGACTTCCGGAACGGGATATTCAATCTCCGGCTGAGACTGAAGACCAAAGAGGGAGTGAAAGAAAAGGCTGAGGTTCTAAGCCCACCTTTGTTCTGCAAATTGCCAACGAGTTTGCTTTCATTTGGAAATCAGTCCCCGAAGTCTCCCCTCGCCCCTCAAGTCCCCCCTCTGCCATCCTCTGAGGCTAAGCTCTCCTTCCACTACCCCACGGTCTGGCCCCTTTTCCCAGCCTACCGTGACCCACCTGGAACACCACCACTTTCCCGTCGTCTGCCTGGAGGTAGAAGGTCCATGTGGAGGACATGAAACTCTGGGCCGAGCTGACGAGATCGTTGCAGAAGTTGGAGACCAGGTCGAAGACCGAGAAGGAGGTGGCTTTCGGGCCCTGGAGCTGTATATTTAAAAACAAACAAAAATCAGATTTAACACCACCGGCAAGAAGCTCAGAGCTGGCCTCTCTCTCCAGAAGGATGAAGGACCATTGGTCAGCAATTTCTGGACCTCCTGTATCTCCGGGCCCACATTTTATCCACTGGGGGTTGCAACAGCATCCTGGAGATCTTGTCTAAAGTTTTACTAAAATCAAGATAAACTACACCCAGAGCAATGCATTCTCAAAGGCTTTCATGGCCGGGATCCGATGGTGGTTGTAGGTTATTCAGGCGGTCTGGCCATGTTCTTGAGGACCTGAAGAACACAACCAGACAGCCCAAAAACACTACTACACCCCCCAGAGCACTCTCCTCATCTACCAAGTGTGTCCCTTTGCATTTTAAAAGAAGGACATGAGATGAGTCCAGTACGGACTGGAATAACTACCTGTTCTGGTCTGCTTTCCGTTTCTGGCAACTGAGTCCGGCAACCCGTCACGCAACCGAATTGCTCTTCGCCTCCGGCGTATGCCTCCAGGCAGGCTGTGAGAAAGACAGCCAAGGGAAAGAGTTTTAGAAATGGAGAACGCAGAGTCGCAAAATCCACAGGGGGAACCCGTTATCCGCAGGATCAGTATCCATGAATTCACGTATCTACGGCAATGAAAAAAAAGACACTGCAGAAAAGGAAAAGAAGACCAGGAGGGAGAAGGAAAGGAAGCACACTCCAGGCCATGTTCTTGGCCTCCCAAGTTTCTTCACCCAGATGGAATGACTTCAGGAAGGCAGGAATAAAGCCCCTGGGTTTAATGCAGTGTATTTTAAAATGTTCCTTTTTCAACCAAGTCTTGGAAGAGTTTACTAAGCTGTTCCTGAAATGATTAGCTTTTGCAAAGCCTCTCGCTTTCCTGCGGGCCAGCTTTGGGACGGTGGAGGTGGGTGGGGAAGATGATGGTCATCTTGTTCCCAGATGCGCTTCGCATCATCCCAGTCCGTCCCCGGGAACCTGCTTGCGGGAGCTCCGAATTCAGCCAGGAGATGACAGCCCTAAGTAGAACAGGGGCTCTGGATAATGTGACGGGGGGTGGGAGGGAGGGAATGAAAAGAAGGAGGGAGGAAGAGAAGGAAGCACACACAGATGCTGTCTCACCCGATTCGCACTCGGCTCTAGTTGTGTTCAGCTTGGCCGTGGCGTCCACGAAATGACAGATGGAAAACAGCCGGCAGCCCCGATAACAGGCGTTGAGAACGGCATCCTTGGGGGGGGGGAGTGGGAGGGGAACAAAAGAAAGAGGTGGGTTTTGAAATATATATATGGGGAAAGGGAAATGATGGCGGAACAAATAACAGATGTGTTCCCCACATGATGCAAGGGTGGGATGAAAAGGATTTAAAGATCCTCCTCCTCGTAGAACGGCAGAGCTGGAAAGGGACCCCCAATCGAATCCATCCCATTGCCTTTGTTGTGGGTGCCCTGCCACTTGTTCTGTGCCTCAGGCCTCAAAATGCCTTGGGATGGCCTTCGGCTGTGCCTAGAGTCCAGCAGGGCCCCTGTATCTGCGGGCTCAGTATCAGCTGATTCACTAATCCCTATCTGAAAAATATTAAAAGGGAAAAAATCTCAAAAATAGACTATATTTCTGAAAGGTGACATGATCCGAACTGGCCACGAGAGGGAGCTGGAGACCACGTCATGTATAACCCACCCACCCGTTTTTGGTATCCGCGGCAGGGGGGCCGGGGCTTGGAAGGGATCCCCCGCAGATACCGGGGTCCGCCTATACTCAGCCTTTAATAACAGCAGGACCTGACCTTTAAAAAGTCTTAATATCCTTTTGCGCCCTTCCTCCCCAGCCCCGGAGCCCCTCATTGGGAGCTGAGGGAGGGTTCTCTCCCTCCCTCCC